AGATAGATAGATAGATAGATAGATAGATAGATAGATAGATAGATAGATAGGACAGAGAGAGATAGAATGAGGGATATAAAAATTGGAAACTGCCCATCTCACAGTAATTATTGTAGTTGGTTGATATTATTGTTATTGGATTTGTTTTTCTCACAGTTTTACCCTTATTTAAGTATAATAGGATTGTGAACCTCTCGGAGTCAAAACTAGATTAGACCAGCCTATAAGCCGAGTAAAATAAATAAATAAAAAGTTAAATGCATTCCACAATTCATATCTTTTGCATGGTGCCTTCATTCCACGTGTGACTTTATCATGGCTTGTTTCAGCTGCTTAAGATTATGAGTTCTTACATTCTTAACAGAGCTTCTTAATTATCCCTTAAAATGAAAGTGGGTTTTTTTGTGCGTGTGTGTGTGCCAGTTAATCAGAATTCCCCCCCACCTCTTTCCTTAGCTTGTCCTCCGAAAATGGTGTGAATTGATTCCTGGGGCAGAGTTTAGGTGCTTTGTGAAGGAAAACAAACTTATCGGTGAGTTTATCAGTTATTTAAAGCTCATTTTTCCTCAGCTGTGTCTAAAGCTTTTCTAAATATTTTTTATCTCTCCTGCATTTCATCTGTAAGACCATGTACAAAAGTTTGGCTATAATTCTTGTTGTCTTGATAATAACTCACAATCATTTCTGTACAGTGTTTCCCATAATTCTCCAAGTAGCTCTGTTTGTGTGAATACACAATAATGTGTATATAATGTCTCAATAATGTGAATTACCATCCTCATTAGATTTTAATATTTATGCATTGCCTGAGGACTTAATAACATGTTCCTTTCTACATTTTTTTTTGTTTTAAGCTACAAGTTGCCTGTTCTTTTGGTTCATGGCACAATTGTTAATGCAGCTTTGAAATCCGGAGTTCGCAGGGTTTCTGTTGGCATCACATAAAGAAATTTAGTTTTCTTAACATTATTGGATCTTGTTAAGAAACCTCTGGCATATCTGTAGAGCCTGCCCACGGAAACTGCTAACATATAGAGGTTTCCGTTCTAAAATATGGTTATCAAGATTTCAAACAGGGAAAACGAAATCTCAAAATGTTTTCTACCCAGATGTACCTACCATGCTAATCCTTAATTTGGCTTATTTATTTATTTAGCATATGCCTTATAACACATGGACAGCCGCAGTAAAGATGTATGAAAAGAGCACATCATAATACGATACACATAAGAGGGAGGTGTGTGTTCAATTTTGCAAAAGGGATTTTCAAAAAGAATTTTGCAAAAGGGATTTGCAAAAGAAATTCATGAAGTTAAATATTAAGTTCTTTCACCCCATGTTATGACCTTTCTCTCCCCCTGGTTGTTAAGTCACTACAGTTGTTAAGTTAGAGACACCATTGTTAAGTGAATCACTACAGGTGTTAAGTTAGCAACACGGCTGTTAAGTGAATCCGTCTTACCCGTTGACTTTGCTCGTCAGAAGGTCACAAAAGGGGATCACGTGATCCCCGGGGACACCGCAACCATCGTAAATGTGAGAGTCGGTTGCCAACTCTCTGAATTTTGATCACACAACTGTGGGAATGCTGCAATGGTTATAAATGTGAAAAACAGCCCTAAGCAGGGGTGGGATTCTACTGGTTCAGACCAGTTCTACAGAACTGGTTGTTATGATTCTGTGCAGTTCAGAGAAGCAGGAAATCATGCCCCTGGCTGGCCCGCCCTCTCTGCCCTCCCCTCCCTGCGTCCTCCCTCATCCAGTCATTCCTTAAGGTATTTATTTCTTTTTCTCCTCCCGACGATCAGCTGTGCCAAGATCCCCCTCGGTGTCTTACTGCTTGCCAGGAGGCTTCCCTGCAGCCCAGAAGGCAAAAAGGGGCTGAGGGAACTGTGCCGCCCCCCCTCCATGTTTTTTGGCTTCCTGGGCTCCAGGGAAACATTCTGGGAAAACAAATGCCCCCCCCAGGCACCCCCAAACAAATGGGCCCTGAGGCCCTGGAGGCCCCAAAATGAAGCATGGAGGGGGGTGCTGCAAAAACAAAAGAGGCCACACCCACCCAGCTGCATGGCCACGCCCACCTGGCCACGCCCACAGAACCGGTTCTTAGAAAATGTGAGTCCCACCCCTGGTCCTAAGTCATTTTTTTCAGCGCCGTTGTAACTTCGGTCGCTAAATGAACGATTGTAAGTTGAAGACTACCTGTATTTTTGTAATTGGAAGAAGTCTACTCTTCCTTCATTTGGCTATTTTTCCCTTTTGGAGGTTGTGTTTAGCACAACGCATGGGTTCAGTAATCAGAAATACCATCAGTTACAATTCTGTAAGAGAATACAATAGAATAGAATACTTTGTTGGCCAAGTGTGGTTGGACACACAAGAAATTTGTCTTTGGTGCAAATGCTCTCAGTGTACTTAAAGGAAAAGATACATTCATCAAGAGTCAAGAATCATCAGGTGCAACACTTAATAATAGTCAGAGGGTACAATAAGCAATCAAATCATAGTAGGAAACAGTCAATATAGATCGTAAGGATACAAGTGACAGAGCAACAGAGGAAATGTTTGGCACCTTCCGAATGTAACTAATTAGAATAAATAAGATCTAAGCAGGTTCAAGGTTTTGTTTTTTGTTTTAATTCATCAACAACAGCCCGGTATCGCTGGGACTCATATTCTACCACTGTGCTTTAATTCCAAGGAAGTCTTGCAGTAGCAAGATTAATAAAAAATTATAATGAAGATAATTTGTCTTCCAGGCATATCTCAGCGAGACTACACTCAGTACTACGAACATATCTCCAAACAGAAAGAAGAGATTTGTAGATGCATACAGGACTTTTTCACGAAGCACATACAGTATAAGTTTTTGGATGAGGATTGTGAGTACCCTTTTAATTTGAATAAGATGCTGGTATTTTCTAACAATTACAAGTATACTTACTTTTCCTACTTTCTGCTTTTTTCCCCCCTTCCTTTTTAGTTGTATTTGATGTCTACAGGGACAGTATGGTAAGTGAGCTTTCTCTTCTACATCCGTGCTAATGATTGGGAAGGTATACAATTGAGACCCCGATTCTCTCCCAAGAGATTGGCAGCATCTAGGCAACCTGGTCTGATCTTCAAAACACTGAATTGGTCACTAACTGGAGGAGAGAAAAAAGTCAGGTAGCCCAAAAACATATCTCAAAAGAAATCCATATTACAGAGGGAATAAGGAATGGCCTTGAAGGCAGGAGGAAGAGGGGTTACTAAGGCAGTGATCAGATAAGCAGGGCTTGTACCCAGACAAATGAAGCAACTTTGAGAAAACATCTAAGACAAACCTCACGAGTTCACAGTGAAGATAAAGTGAGAAGGAATCCTGTTTGGATTATCTAGATTCTTTCCCAATAGTAGTAATCCAGATTTATGTGGAATTGGTGTCTTAACGCTCAGAACCATTGAAACAAAAACATAACTGATCTGAAAAGGAAAAGAAGGATTGTGTTGTTTGTATTTTATTTTATGCTGTCCACATATGGATAGTTAACATTTTGACTCTTGCCATCCTCCTTCAGGGCAGAGTTTGGCTCATTGATTTTAATCCATTCGGGGAAGTGACGGACTCTCTGCTGTTTACATGGGAAGAAATCAGGTCTGGAAACAGTTTGAAAAATGACCAAACTGAAGGAGCAGCGATGGAAGAGGTAAGAGAACAGAACAGGTGGATTTAAAACAAAATACAGGACAAATCTATATACAGGAGTAACTGTAATTAAATCAGGTTTCCTGATTTTGATAGGCATTTGACATTTTCCTTTTTTAAAAAATTTTTAAAACTTCCCAGAATTACTGTGTGGCAAGAATAAATAAATAAGGAAGTAATTAAATAAGGAAGTAAATAAGAAAGTCACTAAGTAAGAAAGTTAAGTAAGTTAGAAGGTAAGTAAGTAAAGTAAGTAACTAAGTAAATAACTTAGAAAGTAAGTAAAGTAAGAAAGTAAAGTAAGTAAGAAAGTAACTAAGTAAGAAAGTAAAGTCAGTAATTAAGTAAGAAAGTAAGTAACTAAGTAAGAAAGTAACTAAGAACGTAAAGTCAATAAATAATTAAGTAAGAAAGTAAAGTAAGAAAGTAACAAAATAAATAACTAACAAAGTAAGTAAATAAATATACATACATGTATTCAAACATACATACATGCATACCCATTGCTGCAATTTTGCCTTGTTGGAAATGAATGTTAGCTATAAAAATGATGGAAAGTTCATGGGCCGTAAGAATTTTGGCTTGTGAGCCGCAATGAATAGAATAGTTTATTAATGGTTTTGTCTTGGGACGTTACCAAAAAGGGAGTTAGCTGGGGAATTCTGGGAGTTGGAGTTTGCATCTTAAGTTTGCTGCGATTGAGAAATCCTGGTGCAGGCCCTCATGCTCTGTCCATTCACTTCTGGGAATCTCCTTTCTCCAACTTGCAAACAAGCCATGATTAATGGGTGTGGAGGAGGTTGCTCTAAGATTGGTGGACTGCCTGCTCCCTGAGTGGTTCTCATGGCCAGAGGTCTCCTAGAAAATTCTGGTCTTGACCCGTGTTTTGGAAGAATTCCCATCTTCCCTCCCCCAGCTTATGAAATCACTATTCGATATTTTGAAGTTGTTCACTATTTGTATATAAGAGAATAACAGAGCTGGAAGGGAGCTTGGAGGTCTTCTAGTCCAACCTCCTTGCTCAGGAAGGAGACCCTATACCATTTCAGAAAAATGGCTGTCCAATCTCTTTTTAAAATCCTCCAGTGATGGAGCACCCACAACTTCTGAAGGGAAGCCATTCCACTGATTCATTATTCTCACTGTCAGGAGATTCCTCCTTAGTTCCAGGTTGCTTCTCTCCTTGGTTAGTTTTCATCCATTGCTTCGTGTCCTGCCTTCTGGTGCTTTGGAGAATAGCTTGACTCCCTCTTCTTTATGGCAGAGATATTGGAACCCTGCTATCATGTCAATATTCCAATATCTGAAGGGCTGCCCCAAAGGAGAGGAAGTCAACTTATTCTCCAAAGCACCAGAAGACAAGGCAAGAAACAATGGGTGGAAACTAAGAGAAATTGTGATATATTAGACTGCATTGATTCATTAATTAGTACATAAAATTTTTTGCAAGGAAATAATTGAGTCAATCTTTCTCAATTTTGCTCTTCTCTTCCAAATTAGGAGTCTCTGTCATTCCGTTGCACGAACAGCAACCTCACAGTCCAGCCAAGTCCGTATCTGAGCTACAGATTACCCAAAGATTTCGTAGATCTCTCCACAGGAGAAGATGTCCACAAATTAATTGATTTGCTCAAGCTGGTAAGCCGATTTGGAGAAGGTTGTCTTTTGACATGATCTCTTGGGATATGAAAAGTCAGCGAGCTAGGAATTCTTGTAGCTTGAAACCCTCCTTCGCAAAACATTGATGTAGGCCCTCATGCTACGTCCACTAGTTTTTTCCTTCCCAAATTCTGGATAATTCAGTGAAATATATAAAAAGGTTATCTTAAAAAGCATTACAATCGGAGGCCACTTTCACAACAACAATTCATTCACTCCCCTTGTCTGTATTCCAATGTTTCTCAACCTTGGCAACTTTTAGATTTGTGGACTTCAACTCCCAGAATTCCCCAGTCTGTTTGTCTGGACTTCCACTCCCAGAATTCCCCCATCAGCTTGCATGGACTTCAATTCCCAGAATTCCCCAGTCAGCTTATCTGGACTTCAACTTCCAGAATTCCCCTGTCAGCTTGCATGGACTTCAATTCCCAGAATTCCCCTGTCAGTTTGTGTGGACTTCAATTCCCAGAATTCCTCAGTCAGTTCGTCTGGACTTCAACTCCCAGAATTCCCCAGTCTGTTTGTCTGGACTTCAACTCCCAGAATTCCCCAATCAGTTTGTCTGGACTTCAACTCCCAGAATTCCTCAGTCAGTTTGTCTGGACTTCAACTCCCATCATACTGGCTGGGGAATTCTGGGAATTGAAGTCCACACAATTTAAAGCTGCCACAGTTGAGAAATACTAATATAATTTATCAGATTTGTACTTTGTGGTGGAAATAGATATATATCAGTTTCCTTGCAAGTTCCTGTCACAATCTAAACGTTTCTAACTTGGCATTTTAGGAAAAATATATTCAAATCTCTTGATTATCTTTAAGGTCAGTTGAATAATTTTTCTGGGGAATAACTTACCTTTCAAACGGTTGCAAAATTTATGTTTTTGGATGCATCTGAGAGAGAAAGTAGGGGCGGATATGCACACCTTTTCACAAATCATTTTCAGCTCTCCGAAATATAGTATCTGTAGTTCTATCCCTCTAATAAGTTGGAAACTAATTTGCAGAAAATCAAGTGTAGTAGAAAACCACAAAGTTTTCCCTCAGTCTGTTGAGTGATTTTCTTAAGCTGTTTGGCTTTTACCAACAGCTAAGGGGAGGCTTGGAACTGGCCAAGATTGAAATCTCAGTGGAAAAAAGATTTTATGGAGCCCTTTTATGTTGTTGAAGTCCATGATGAATGGTCTGAAACCTTAAACAAATCCAATCTCATGCATTGCAGTGAAGGAACATCCATTGCTTGTGGTCACACAAAGTGACTTGTGTATTTATACAGCCCCAGTTCTGATCAAAGGACAGCAAAAGCTTAGGCATTCTGCAAACAACCTCTGGAGGGTAGAACTAAATATTTAGCCTATAGATATTTTAACTTAAAACATGAAGAGGTGGCCTGGGGTGTTATCCATGTAAGCTGCAAACTTCCCTACTGGGGCTTTTTAAGGATGGATGAAAGAACCGTAGCAAGAAAATTACCAATTCTTTCTAGTATAGAAATTGTTCCTTTACGAAAATTGATCGGTCATCCTGTGGTCTCTACAATGTTAGGAGCTGAAAGTGGGAGTTGATTAGTTTACCTCTTTATGGTATTTTGTTTGTGTTGTGCACAGGTTTTGTATAATTTTTTAACCTTTTTTAACATTGGAAACCTCCCAGCGATAAGATGGACAGCCAGTAAATTTAATCTATATACATAAAAGCGAAATGCCCTTCACCCATTATCACAAAATCTTCCAGAACTGTAAAGCCTACAAACTTGAAATTTGGCATTTATGCTCCTCTTGGCTTCTAGGGGCTCACTAAGAAAGGATTTTTCAAAATAACCATCAGAGCATTAAGTATTTCCTATATTATTATTATTAACACGCTCTGATGCTAAGGAGTTCTATTCCCCCTCACCATCTGAAAAAAAGAAATCTCTTCCAAACGCAAAACACAAGCAGAGGAGAGGAGTTTCAGTTTCAGTTTTAATTTTACAGCACCAAGCAGCATTAGTACAAAACAGTTGAGCTAAGCCATGCCCAGGCTCCTTGCTGTCTCCTTGCTCACACAGCAAATACTATTTCACTTTCCAAACAGCCCTCAACTCTCTGACACACTGACAAGACACTAGCCAGATGAATACTGATGGATGCTGGTAGGCAGAGGCAGAATTCCCCACCCTTATTTCCCTCCCCCAAAACTAAACCCGACCACATAGTTTCATAGCGAAGCAGAGGTATCGACCTTGTAAAATAATAAACGATGCCTTGTGGTCCATCAATATGGCTTGATCAAAAATATCATTTGATTTCTAACTGTCATTTTGGTTATTGATTCTTAATTTTACTATCGGTTTGTTTATCGCTTTTTTTCCCCTAGATGTCTCCACAAATCCGTTATAATTTCTCAGTCTGTGCAAAGCTGTTAGGATGGTTCAGAAAATGGGGTTAAGAGAAGGGAGGTTCAGGTCTGTCCCTTGACTGTTTTAGGAGAGTCATGTACCCTCAGTCCAACCCCTTCGTGTGGTGGTGGTGGTTATTTATTATTTTTTTGCTTTATTAATTTATGTCTCAACTTTGTTATTTTTATAAGCAACTCATGGCTGTAAATATATACATAATGCTCCTTCCTAGTCTTGTTTTCCCCACAACAACAACTTTGGGTGGGTTCAGCTAAGAGAGAGACTGCTGTCATGGCTAAGGCGGGACTAGAACTCATAGTCTCCTGGTGATTGGCCAAAGTCATCCATTCATGCCTAAGGTTGGACTAGAACTCCCAATCTCTTGAAGATTGGCCCAAAGTCACCCAGTTGGCTTTCATGGCTAAGGCGGGACTAGAACTCACAGTCTCCTGGTGATTGGCCCAAAGTCACCCAGATGGCTTTCATGTCAAAGTGGAACTAGAACCCACTACTTCTAGTTACTAGCCTGGTGCCTTCCATATCCCCTGGAGTAAAACTGACATAACAAAATAGTATGCTTTTTATGAATAAATCCATAAAATACCCACTCCAAATTTTTGTCTGTTTGTTTGTTTTTTAAACCAGAAAAGAAACCAGCCAGAGGATGATGAAGCATGAAGATCACAGGATAAAATGAAAAAAACACACACAAGAAAAACCAGAAAGGAGGCCACCTAGAAAAATAGCATTTTAACCGTAACAGTTCTGAGTTAAGAACTTCTTTCGTCACAAAGGAAAGGGGATGCTAAACATGGTGTAATCCTTTTAGCGGAATAAAGATGTTTTCACCTCATTAGACAAAAATGGCTTGGGAGATACAGATCACCTGCTTATATCTCCAGGACTCCGTTCTCTCACACTAAATCTGTATATTTCGCTTCTAAGTGTTTGGTTTGGGGTTTGTTTCAGGTTTCCCATTTATAGCGGGGTTGATAATATTTTGTCTTTTAAAGAGGATGTAATGTCAGCCGAAGAGAAAAGATTGTGCGTAAAATGGGAACCACTACCAGGCCTCAGGATAGAATTTAGTAATAGTTGGATACTATGTGGGGCCTGGCCAAAAGGCTTGGGAAAATCTTGACTTTTTTCAAGACAATGGATGACTGCAGTAGAAAATGAAGAAATAGAATAATTGCTTTGGAAGGTACCTTGGAGGTCTTCTAGTCTAACCCCTTGCTTAGCAGGAAACCCTATAGCATTTCAGACAAATGGTTATCCAATCTCTTCTTAGAAACTTCCAGTGTTGGGCCATTCACAACTTCTCGAGGCAAGTTGTTCCACTGATTAATTGTTCTAACTGTTAGGAAATTCCTCCTTAGTTCTAGGTTGCTTCTCTCCTTGATTAATTTCCATCCTTTTTTTTTTTTTCAGAGTTAGAAGGGACCTTGGAGGTCTTCTAGTCCAACCCCCTGCTTAGGCAGGAAACCCTATAGTCGTGATGGTGAACCTATGGCACAGGAGCTCCAGGCAAACTTACCTCACTGCGCATGCATACACCTCCCAGCTGATTTTCTGGCCTTTTTCGGCCTACCAGAGGCTTGAGGAAAGCCTCTACAGCCTTTGCAGGCCAAGAAATAGGCCCATTTCATCACTTCCCGTATTTCCAGAAATACCAGAAATGATGAAATGGGCCCATTTTTTGGCCTGCAGAGGCTTCCCTCAAGCCTCTGGCAGGCTGAAAAAGGCCTGAAACAGGCCGAAAATCAGCTGGGAGGTGCAGTGCAGGTAAGGGGGCAGCGGGGAGGCTTGCACGGACATACGCAGGGGGTGTGGGGTGCCACACACAGTACCTTCTGGGTGCTGGTGTGTGTGCTGGCGCACGCGCAAGCGCACAATTTTTGACACAGGAGCCCAAAAAGGTTAGCCACCACTGCCCTATAGCAGTTCAGACAAATGGTTGTCCAGTCTCTTCTTAAAAGCATCTAGTGATGGAGCATCCACAACTTCTGGAGGCAAGCAGTTCCACTGGTTAATTGCTCTCACTGTCAGGAAAATTCTCCTTAGTTCTAGGTTGCTTCTTTCCTTGATTATTTCCACCCATTGCTTCTTGTCTTGCTTTCTGGTGCTTGACTCCCTCTACTTTGTGTCAGCTCCTCAGATATTGGAACACAACTACCATGTCAACCCTGTTCCTCCTTTTCATTAGACTAGACCTACCCAGTTCCTGCAACCATTCTTCATATGTTTTAGCCTCCAGTCTCCTAATTATCTAATCCAGTGCCCAGTGATACGGAGAATTAAAGATACCTTTAATGAATGCATTTAGTCCTTGACTTAACGATCACAGTTGAGTCCAGTCATTCTTAATTTCTCTCTCGGACCAAATTCAATTTTTCATTGCAAATTTCTCCTCTGATCTGCAACCCAGAGAAGCATTCAGAATGCAGAAACAGTCACCTTCTCCTGATTAGCTACCGAATGTAAATCGCCTTCCGGGGAGATGGGTTGGAAGGGGGCAGCCTTTTAATATTTTTCAGTAGCTATTTAAGTAGATGGATACCAGATAATTTCCTGCTGCCCCCAAGAGGATCTCCGGACCTGCAGTTATAAAAGGGCTCGCCAGCCACGTATTATCAAATTGTGTCATTAATTGGATCGTGCATTGGGTGGCTGTTGTATGAGTCTCGATACGATACGTGTTTTAGATGTAGGTCGCTTCTCTGGCTTGAACTACAGCTCCGTCAGGCGGTCGTGAAATGGATTTTGGCCACTTTTTGCGACCTTCCCTGCCGTAGTTGTAAAGCAAATCACTGCAGGGGTTAAGGTAGCAACACGGTTGTTAAGTCCATCCAGCTTCCCCATCGATGCTGATTATCAGAAGGTGGCAAAAAGGGGGATCATATTGTGGCCTGTCGGCTGCCAGCCCCTCCAACAGCCGAATCAGAGGAGCAGGAGGAAGCGTGGGAGTCAAATCATCATCAGGGCAACCTGGGAGCTCCGAGGAGGAAGAGGGATTGAAGCTGGCAGAGTGTTCTGACCCAAACCTTGTTCCAGGGAAACCAACACCAAATGGAGGTAACAGCAAAACCTTTTAATGATTCTTTACGAATTCCGTTCCTTCCCGGTTAAAAGGCTGTTTCAAGCTCATTGTCTCTGATAAGAACGAGCCTTGCCAAGGTGGTGCAAGGCTGCCAAGAACTCTAGATAAAGTTGCCAAGAAATAGTTCAAACACAAAGAGTCTCCAAACAACAATGAAGATATTCCGAACATCCACAAGGCTTGAGTGCAAAAACTTCTTTGCTTCCTGCAAAGAACTCCGGTTTCTCAGCTGGCTTTTATTTCTTGAGGGAGGGGCCATTACCTTGCAGCCTTACTCCTGAGTCGCCCATGTGCTGCAGCTGCTCTTTCCTTCGAGCAGCCCTGCACGCATGTACACTGAGCACAGGCTCCTCGGGGGCCTCCATCACTGCTGCCAGCCTCCACAATCTCCAAAGGCAGCACTCCACTCCCTGATGGTCCTGGCCTCATCCCTGCATCACATGCAGCCCCCTCATCAGAGTCTTTGCTCTCCTAGGCCTCAGCCATCCTCACCTGTTCCCAGCAAACCACAACACACACCGAGAGAGACAGAGGCAGAACCCGGGCCATCCGTCAGCCCTCAGATGGAGATTCAACAGTCCCCAGGTCTGGAGGTGGCTGATGAGGAAGAGGAGGAGCAGCCGAGTCCAGTGCCTGACATGCAGATGAGCAGGAGGCAGAGGAGAGGAGAGCAGTGGAAATCTATGGGCCGGTCCTTGGGACAGAAGAGCCAACTCTCCACCCTAGCTCTGGGGATAAAAAGCAGGGGGCGGAGATGGACAGATGTGGCAGACAACTATTCATCTTCCCTGCCGGACGGACTTGTTGTCCTGCAGTGAGAGAGGAACTTTTTGCCGGGGTTGCCGGCATTCCTAATAAAGGAATCTTTTGAGTTCACGTCAGAGGCTTGGTCATGTTTGGGGAGCTGGGTCAGAACAGATCACATGATCCCAGGACACTGCAACCGTCATAAATATGAACCAGTTTCCAAAAGTCTGAATTTTGATCTCGTGACCCAAGGATAACTTTTTTTTTTTTTTAAATGATCTTCCTCTCTGGGCCCAAGGCCCAAGATAGCAAGAAATACAAGTATAAATAGAGATAGTCCTTGACCAAACTGAGACCAACATTTCTGCTGCTAAGTGAAATGTGTGTGAAGTGAGCTTCGCCCCATGTTACATCCTTCCTTGCCATGGCTGTTAAGCGAATTGCTGCATTGGGTAATTTAGTAACATGGTTATAAAATGAATTTGCCTTGACTTTGTCAGAAGGATGGAAAAGGGGATCACATGGGCATTTCAACCATCGTAAATACAAGTCACTTGCCAATCCTTTGAATTAGGATCACATGAACACGGAGGAGGCTGCAATGGTTGTAAGTGTGAAAAACAGTCACAAGTCCCTTCAGTGCCATCGTAACTCCGAACCATCAACAAGCAGTTGTAAGTTGAGGGCTACCTGTAGTGACAAAAAAATTGAATCGCCCAGCCAATGGTTTTTCCCTGTCATATTCTATGGGTGCAGAGAGTTTGGAAGAAGAATCCATCTTCTGATTATATTTGATTATTTAATTAAAGATTTATGGAGCCATCTTGTGCAATGTAATCCTGGGTGCCTCACAAACAATGAAGTCAGAAGCAGAGAGCTGAGTACAGATGTTTAGCACAGTGATTATTAATTTATTCCCAAGCCACAATTCGCCACCTTAAAATTTTCCACCGGCACAATGTAATTATATCTCTCTACACTCCCTGTGGGCACTTCTTACCTTGGAAAACAGAGCAATACAGAAGATAATGGAAAAAAGAGACAGAGCTTTGTAGTTCAATAATCTATATACGGTATATAAAAGCTCATCAATACCACTCAGGCATCATCACAAACTCTCCAGAACCGTAAAGCCTACAAACTTCAAATTTGGCCCGTATGTTCGTCATCGCTTCTAGGGGCTCACTAACAAAGGATTTTTCTAAATGACTATCAGAGCATTTAGAGTATTTCCTGTATTATTATTGATGCTAAGGAGTTCTACTCCCTCTCCCCACCTGAAAAAAAAATATCTTCCAAATGCAAAACACAAGCAGAGGAGAGGAGTTTCAGTTTCACAGCAGCACCAAGCAGCTTTAGTGCAGAACAGTTGAGCTAAGCCACGCCCAGGCTCCTTGCTGTCTCCTTGTTCACACAGCAAATGCTCTTTCAGTTTCCAAACAGCCTTCAACTCTCACTCACTGACAGGACTCTAGCCAGAGGAATACCGATGGATAGGCAGAATGGTAGGCAGAGGCAGAATTTCCCCCCCTTATTTTCCTCCCCAAAAACTAAGTCCAACCACATAGTTTCATAGCAAAGCACATGTATCGAGCTAGTAAATAATAAAGTATTCCCTCCTGGGACTAGGACAGGATTTATAAACTGACCACATGGACATTTTGCCAGAGGCAATGATTGCAATTTAGTTTGATTTCTGCTTCTTAACACTTGCCGTTCCTAGTTACAGATTTTACAAAAACGAAATGCGAAACTGTTGGTTGTCATCCTTCAGAAACATTCAGGCAGTCCTCGACAAGAACTAACTCTACGCTTTTGACAAATGGAGTAGATGGGTTCTATCTAATCTTTTGTACAAGTGGAAACCTATTTTGCAAGTTTCTTGGTGGTTTTCTTGCAGACATTTCATGACCCAACTAGGTAACTAGAGAGTGTAGGGTTTGCTCCCTATCCATGCCCAGTAGTTTGCCCTGCCGGTATTGGTGGAGATACTGTTTTCTCTTGAT